GATAGAAATATTGGACTGAAACAACGACTTCTGTGGAGCAGGCCTCAAACGTTCGTAACACTCGAAAACTGTGTCAAATTACACACCTATTTAATGGGGAGTCGTCAGGTTTGATTTACTCTGTTCGCGAATTTTATGGCGGTTTTAATGCCGACAACTTGGCCAAGGTCAGTCACTGGTGCGGGCAGTCCTAGCACTTTCTCGACTTCAGTAACCAAACCCTCACATCATCATTCTCCTCTGCAGCAAAGTTTATTTCCCCAACTTACGTAGTATTATGCGACCTCCCCTCCGAGGTAGGAGTTACGCATGCGGCGCAGAGTCTCAAGAACAACAGGGCGCGTGTAGTGGACGATATTCCTATCAAGACCTGCAAACCTTGTGCCAACACGCCGGCACTCTGACCCCAGGAGGCGAATGAATAAGCGTGGGGAAATTTGGCTCTTCCTGATGGCTTGGGGTCGGTCGTACGCGTGTCCGTCATTAAAAAGAAAGTAAGACATAATGTGGGAACTACCGCCTCGTAGACCTTATCAAAATTCCTGCGAAGTTCTTCCCTTTTGTCCATCCCAGACGATTGCAGGCTGTGCATGACTCTAGGAAGAGTTTCATCCAGGCCGGACTCCAAACTTGACGTGGATATGCTGACCAGATATTTACACTGGAGCGAATTCTTTTATTCGGCCATGACTACCGGCAACGGACGGAAGTCTTTTTGCTCGACTTGGCAGTTGCATTTGGTTCCTTCCACAACGAGTCCCTGTGATGAATAATGGAACTGGATGATGTGCCGGCGAAACTTGTCGCCACGATCGAGGCCTACTGTCGCCCTGCTATCTCAAGAGTTCTACACTGTAACAATCTGTCCCAGCCATTGAATATGCGATCTTGCGCTTGGCGAGGTCATATACTGTCCTTCAGCACCTCAACAACAATCACTGCCCACTGACGAGTGTAAGACAGAACAAGCAGCCTGAGTGGCTGAATAGCAACCTAAAGTAAGAGATAAGCAGGAGGCACGAATTGTGGAGAAAATACTACGTCACTGAATAACTTGAGCATTTTAACACCTAGAAGACACAAATAAACAGACTGAGAAACATTCTTGTAAAGACGCGCCGAGAATTTAAGAAAAATTTGCGCAAAAAGCAACCCAGACCTAAAAATTACTTTACAACTGCCTCATAATAACTACAAGGAACAGACACAAAAACTCCTTAATAAGAACTACCGATAGCGTTGAGACTGATAATAGAAAGGATTAAGCTGCGCATTTTTCAAGGTTCATCTAAGCAGTCTACATAAACGAGACAAAGTTCCTTCCTTAGTCCACGGAAAGACACCGACTAAAAATATAAGTAATATACTCTTATCAAAAGGTGTTCTTTGAACGGCATTAGAGACATTGAACGAATCCAAGTCAACAGAGCCAGACGAGATTCCACTCAAACTTCTCAAAGGACTTGCCGGTAAACTCTCCGTGTCTTTACCGATGCTCTTTCCAACGTCATTTGACGCTGGAACACTTCCTATCGATTGAGAGCTGACGCATATTACTTTGCAAAGTAGGTAGCGGGGCATGGACGACAAATTACAGTCCCGTGAGCATGACATGCACTCTCTGCAAGGTTATAGGTGGTATCATGAAGAGGGAATTGATGCAGTCCTTGGAAGTTCATGACTTGTTGTCGAATTGCCAACATGAGTTCCGGAAACGAAGATCCTGTACGACAAACTTGCTGCAATCTCTCCAGAGTTGAGCCCGAGTTCTCGATGACGGAACGCGGTCCACAAGGCAATCATTGACTTCCAAAAGGCGTTCGACACTGTGCCACACCAGAGACTGTTACATGAACTGAAGAGAAAAGGGATCAGCGGCAACTTCCACAAATGGATCGAGAACTTCCTTTTGGGTCGACACCAAGTTGTGTGCATCGGTCAAGCGAAATCAAGTCCTGCTATGGTTGAGAGTGGTGTTCCTCAGGTGTCAGTACTGGAACCGATCTTGTTGCTAATGTACGTGGACGATTGCGCAAGAGTTTGGGACTGCGAAGAAGAAGACATGAAGATACGGATCGTAATAGGGAGTCCTGCCGACAAAGACAGAGTGCCGATGAAAATTAATCGGTAGGAAGAGCGGTCAAACCCTTGGCTCCTGCGGTTCAACGTTGGTAAGTGAAGCGTATTTCGCCTAGGCAACACAGCCAGATACGCCAAAACAGGAGACTACTTTCTGGGCGATGCAGCCCTACAAGAGATCGAAGTCCAAAAGGACCTCGGCGTGCTGATGACGAACTCTCTGAAATCGCCAGCTCATTGTTCAAGGGTGGCGAAGAGCTTAACGTTCATATCCTTATGCCACCCGCCTATTAAATCGAAACTTCTTCCCTTTGAGTTACAGGAAACCTCGCGGGGATCTTTTGACAGCATTCCTCTGTAGAAGGGCAACATAACCTGTTGTTTAAACGTGACCTTGCTATTCTTTTCCTGTTTTTGACTTACCTGTTTTTTCAAACTAACGTTTTTAATTTAATTCATTAAACGCCAGTTTACAGGCATTGTCAAGGGAAGCCATTAAACACAAATCCGACCAGCAGTGAAAAAAAACTCCTGAAGAATAAAAATATAGTTGATGGTGGTTTTATGGTTTGGAGGGTTCAGGAGAAAAAAAACTGCTGACGGTAGATTTTCGACCGTCAAGAAAGGGGGGAGGGGGTTGCACGGTATTGCAGATTATCGGACGTAAATTCCTTTCATGAAGTTGGGGATAGTCAAAGTAGAGGCGTTGTGGAACAGCTGGTGAGACCGGCCATAGTGTTCAGAGACCACAAACGCCATCGCTACGGTACAGTCGATCAGTGGATTCAGAACCCTAAATTTGACGAAGCTTTTCTGAATGCGAAAATCGAGAAAAGTTCTCTTAAATAAAGGATAATTTTGCAGAGTTTTTACACTCATGGGTAGTTTATTCCAAATAGCAATTGCATTTACAGAATAGAACCGATGATATTTAGCAGTACGTGCCAGGGGCAGAAATAAAAAGACCTCATGGCGACTGTTACGTCGTGGGTGGACATGATGTCTTAAAGAAGTGAGTGGGTTAAATGTTTGATTATATTAGTGACCGCGGTGGAAGAGTTGAGGGGCCAGTCGAGGGACCGCCCATAAGGAGGAAGTCGGAAAAAAGCCAGAACTGGATTAATTACTACGTGTTGGAATTTTTTAAATAAACATTCCCATCGTCAAGCTATTCTATCTGTGTATGCTTGCGCTTGAGGATGAAGAGCTCATTTCGCACTAACTTTCAGGACTCCAGTCAAGGAGACACCCGACTTGACAGGGACACTAAGGAAGAATATACGGACTGTCGCGTAGAGGAAAACGGCAAGTCGTACCCTTGGGTTGCTCGAATACTACATTGGTAGCAGCGACTATGACTTGCCCAACCACCTCACTCTCCTCGCCTACGACTACCCCTAACTCCATTCCCGATTCCTTTCGCCCTTTTGACGGACGGATTGATTTTCATTGTTCGTTATGGCGGTTCCGTTTCCATACGGATGAGGAGCCGCATGACCAACGCTTTCTATTGGTCTTAAAATATTTAAGAGATGACTAGTTGGATAAGGCCCTCGATCCCAGGCTATCAGTTTTAACCCCTTTTGACGTCTTGTGCGATCAACTCCAACGCCGATTCCAACCTCGGTTGGCAATCGAAGATGCGATCCACCGACTCTTGCACCGTCTTCATCGTATAAGAGAAACACCTGAACAGTTCGCGTCTGATCTAGTGTGCCTGGCCTCCGACGCTTACCCGTCCTTGCCGGCAGCGGATAAAGACCAGGTGGTCGCTTACCATTTCAAGCCGATCGGAATGACCGCACGGCTACCCCAGTAACCCGTGTTGGGGTTGAAAACAAATCTCGCGTGAACTCGAGACTCATATTCATGTATACCAACGCGCAAATTGTACTTTCAAAACTGGACGAACTCCGTATCCATACCTACGACCTCCATCCAGACGTTATCTCAATAAAAGAAACCTGTTTGCTCGAACAGGTTAGTGATAGAGAGCTCATGCTTTCTGGATTTCAATTGTTTCACTCATACAGAGAAAACAGAAAGGGTGAAGGCATAGTAACATTTCATGTGAATGGCTTGCGCGTTTCAGAAAAAACTGCCTAACTGACTTGTAGTACCGAAGCATTATGGCTGGCCATAAGGGCACCGGTCTCTCAAAGTCTCGATATCTTGACAGTATATCACCCCCAGAGAAATGACCCTGACGCTGTTGCCCAACTGCTGGAGGAGCTCAGATTATTTTCAACGCGGCCGACCACTCTCACCGTTGAATATTTTAATGCACCTTAGCAAAAATTGGAGCTCGGCCTCAGCCGACTGCTCTGAAGCAGCATTTGACCAGCAGCTACTGCGTACATCCGACAACCCGCTTCTCACCCAACACGTAATTTGTCCAACGAGAGTTCGAGAAGGCCAACACATGAACTGTCTCGATCTTGTGTTCACCAAGTCGCCTGACAACATCGACGTTGTGAATTGCCTTCCTCAGTTGGATCAGAGTGACCATGTAGTTCTCATGTTGGAATATACCTTATTCTCCCTGCCTGCACAACCGCTCGATTCCCGACCTAATATTTGGCGCGGCGATTTCGAACAGATGAAAAAGGATCTTAGTCCTATCTACTGGGCATCCACTATCTCCGGCGATTTCGAAGAGGCTTAGTGTCAGTTCAAGGAGTTAGTCCACAACCTCATCTCCAACCACTGCCGGAAGAATGCGCGGAAGACTAACAAATACACCTCGCTGGTTGACTCTGTCCGTAAAGAAGGAAGTTAACAAGAAGAGGAAGTTATGGAAAAGATCTCTGACGGACCGGACAACAGAATCCCTAAGCAGTTATAAGTTACAGAGATATCGGGTCAAAATTCTCATCGCCAGAGATCGGAAAGCCTTTGAAAAGAATCCTTTGAACCGTGCCATGGTTAATCCCAAAATCTTTTACAGCTACGTAAGACAGAGCACACGGAACAAAGATCCCGTCCCATTGCTGCTAACTGCTGAGGGTGCGGAAATCTCCGATGACAAGGATAAGGCTGACCACCTCTCTCAGTTCTTCCGGTCCGTCGTGACAAGTGAACCGGATTTCTTCTCCCCCACTTGTGAAGACGAAGAAACGCCTGCCCTCGAAGCCGTCTTCTTCACCGAAACAATTGTTCGGAATGAGTTAATAAACTTAAAAGAATCAACCTCCCCAGGTCCTGATGCAATCCCGGCCAGGCTGCTGATGGAGCTAGCTCTCGAAATGTCCAAGCCGTTAGCCTTGATCTTCCAAACGTTATTTGTTACTAGATGCCTGCCCTCTGACTGGAAGTCCGCTACCATCACTCCGCTTTTTAAGGGTGGAAGTCGTGCGTCTGCGAATAACTACAGGCCAATCAGTCTCACCTCCATCTATTGCAAAATCATGGAGACAATCAGTAAGAAGGCCTTGATGCAGTTCCTCGAGCAGCACCGTCTCCTCTCCGATGCACAACACGGCTTTCGAAGTGGTAGGTCCTGTCTCACAAATCTGTTCTTTACGCTCGAACGCTATACCAAAGCACGCGATGAAGGCAATGTGGTGCACGCCATCTACATCGACTTCAAAAAGGCTTTCGACAGCGTTCCTCACCAACGTCTCTTGCACAAACTGTGCAACGCTGGAAGTCTTGGACGCCTTCTTGTATGGATCCAGAGCTTTTTGGCTGGACAGTCCCGAAGAGTACAGGTCGAGCGTCAACAGTCCTTAGATGTAAGAATGGTGAGTGGCGTCCCACAGGCCTCAGTCTTAGGTCCCACGATATTCCTCGTTTTCATAAATGACTGCGTCAAGGACCTAGACTGTGATGTCATCCTGCTTGCCGACAACATAAATCTGTGGAAAGTTATTCACAATGCTGCAGACGCAGACCACCTGCAAGCAAACTTGAACAGGCTCGAAGACTGGTCGAAGCGCTGGCTCATGCCCTTCAATATAAGCAAGTTCAATTTTCTTAAACTCGGCAGCTTCAGAACCCCCAGCCCCAGGACTTACTTTCTACACAGCACACCACTGCAACAGGTTGACAGCCAGAAGAAACTGGGTGTATGCATTATATCCTCACTCAAACCAACAATGCACTGCGCGAAGGCGGCTAAATCGGCTACGGCCACTTTGCTACTCATAAGGCGAGCATTTATGGGATTTGACCCTGACTGCTTTTCCAAAATATTTGGCACATCCATGCGACCTCATCTGAAATACGCCATGCAGGCGTGGAGACCTTGGACAGCCCAGGATTATACCGTCTTGGAGAAGGTTCAGAGATGGGCGACCAAAATGACACATGGTCTGGGAGCACTGCCCTATGAAACCAGACTGTCAATTCTCAACCTGTTTCCCTTTTCCTACAGGCAATTACGTGGTGACCTTATACTAACATTTCGCATTATCAACGGTCTAGACTGTTGTTTAGATCCCACTGATTATTTCACCCAAGCTAACACGCCGCTTTGGAGCCCCATCTCTTTACACTCTGATTGTGGAGCGAATTTCGAGAGCAGGTTAGTGCGCGACGTTTGTCACCTATTTCAGATCCATAAAACACACACTGCATCGGTTCACCCCGAAGGGAATGGCCAGGTGGAACGAACAAATCGGACCATTATTAACTTGTTGGAAGCCTTCGTGGAAGACCACAACCCACACAAGTGGGATGCTCGGCTGCCATACGCCATGATGGCATATAGATGTGCGGTTCATACCTCGACTGGCTATGCCATCTTCCTCATGCTAACCAGCCGCCATTTCTGGTTACCCTCGGGCTCTCATTTCCCGCTCCCAGCCTGTGACGACTATCAGCCGGATACTTATGTCCTAGAGCTGCAAATAACCTTGAGGACTACACACAACCCAGCGCAAACCCAATAGAGTCAGCTTACACACGACAGAAGGCTTACTTTGACCAGCCTGTCCACAGCGCTCTTATTTTTCCCTTTTGCTAATGATGTACTCGATTTATTTCAGTATGGTAAGCCTTTCATGTATGCCGATGATCTTAAAGTTGCATATCGATATAAGCCGGCAGATCGTGACATAGTGCTTGAGCTCCTAAAGATCGACCTACAGGCTTTCGCCAAGTGATGCCGCACATGGCGCCTTTCTCTTTCCTGGCATAAATGCTCAGTCATGGTAGTTGGCGACGACCGCCAACTTCAATTAAGTATTGAAGGTCACACCATAAATATGCCTGGGGTTATTAAGGATCTGGGCGTATCATACTCCAAGAGTCTCAATCTCTCGGAGCACTGTGCCTTGATAGTCTCCAAAGCACGTAGAACGACCGGGTTTATCCTCCAAACTTCAAAACTAGTGATATTAGAATGCGCCTTTTCAACAAGTACGTTAGACCAGGCCTGAAATACTGTTCGCTTTTAATAATTAATAATAATTATTTTTATTAAAGACTCGTCGGGGTCCCATCAAAGCAAGTAAAAATAAATTTGCATGCGAATTTTAGACGAGGTAGGCAAAATCTGTACAAAATGCAATACATAGTTTTTGAATTAGAAGTCCGTTAAGAAAAATGATTAAACAAGGAATGAAAAAAAAACTCCACATGAAAATTTAAAAATGATTAGATTAATTTTACCGAAGAAGAAAAACCCTCGAAAAAAATAGAAACAGAACAATGCGGGCAGGAATGGCCTACATGTGGCGGTATAGAATGGATTATAATCGGACATCGTCAGGGCCGTCAGTGTTTAGCCTCATGCGTGCTACTGAGCGGAAGAAAATAGAATCCGTTCAACTCTTTTTTACGAAGAGAGTTTTAACCCCGGAACACCGACACTCGTCTTACCAAGAACAGTGCCGGCTTACAGGCCTTGATCCTTTATGGTTCCGTAGATTACAAAAGGGACTATTTTTGCTATTTAAGCTCTTATATAATCACACATTTAACCCACTCACCTCTTTAAGACATCATGTCCACCCACGACGTAACAGTCACATTGAGGTCTTCTTATTTCTTCCTCTGGCACGTACTGTTAAATATCGTCGGTTTTTTCTGTAAATGAAATTTCTATTTGGAATAAACTACCAATGAGTGTGAGGATTCTGCAAAATTATCCTTTATTTAAGAGAACTATTACTCGATTTTTGTATTCAGAAAAGCTCCCACAAATTTTGGGTGCTGAATACACTGATCGACTGTACCGTAGCGATGGCGTTTGTGGTCTCTGAACACTATGGCCGGCCTCACCAGGGGTTATTTCTTTGGCCAACAGCGACAGCTGTATTTCGGCGCTTCTGGTTGGACTAACCCTTACTTCATGAAAGAAATTGACGACTGAAAAGATCCGATACCGTGCAACCCCTCCCTTCGTGACGATTGAAAGTTTGTCGTTAGCAGTTTTTTCTCCTGAACCCTCCAATCCAGAAAACCACCATCAAATATATTTTTATTCCTTTTCCATATGAGTTTTTTCACTGCTGGTCGGATTAGTGTTTCACGCTTCCCTGACAGTGCCTGTAAACTGGCATTAAATAAAATAATTATTATAATTATTATTATACTTAATTATTATAATTATTATACGTTGCAGGCGACCTGGTACTGCGTTACCGACCGACTCCACCGGTGGGGACTTCGTCAAAATTCTTCCATCCGTGGGGGGCCCCTTCAACGTCATTGACTCCCTTCTCCCTTCTACTTGCACCATACGTGACGCGCAGTCCACCGTAGGTCCCGTCCTTACCGTTCACTATGACAAGCTGAAGCCTTACAGGGGCCGGCTACCTAACGCGGCCGCCAACTCCCTACCCATTCGCCCCAGCCCCCCCCCCCTACCTTGTTCCCCAGCCCTCCGATGAGGTGGAAAGCACCAACATTTCCCTCCAGACCGCGCCTCTGAGGACAGAGCCGCCTCTTAAGAGGGGGGACGTGTAGAAGGGCAACATAACCTGTTGTTTAAACGTGACCTTGCTATTCTTTTCCTTTTTTTGACTTACCTGTTTTTTAAACTAACATTTTTTAGTGACCGCGGTGGAAGAGTTGAGGAGGCCAGTCGAGGGACCGCCCATAAGGAGGAAGTTTGAAAGAAGCCAGAACTGGATTGATTACTACGAGTTGGCATTTTTTAATAAACATTCCCATCGCCAAGCTATTCTATCTGAGTATGCCAGTATAGGTCAGTATATTTTAAGGGTAATAGGCAATGACTTTGAAAACCCTATTGTAAACGGTACACGCAATGTATAACTTTAAATAAAAACTGTACTAAAATGTTGTGAGTAATATATACACTTAACACAATATTTACCATTGAAAATGCAAGACCGAAGCTCACACACATTCGGTTGTAGATGATATCGGTAAAATGCAATGACAGTCATCCGCATTAGCGGTAGGTACATGCAAGGCGTTGGTTTGGCACCACAGAGCTGTTCTGTCCAGACAAGCGGTATTGTCCAAGCAAATATACATCTAGTCTTTGCTTGAACGTCTCCGTGGTATCCGCCATTATTACGTCCTCAGAAAGCCCGTTCCAGGCACCGACGACTCGCTGTGAAAAACAGAATCTTCGAACGTCCAGGCGGCATCGGGATCCTCTAAGTTTTAGGGAGTTCCCACGCAGGTTTGTTGTTGTGGCCAGGGTGAAGAAATCGTTCAGGTGTAGGGCACAGTCCCGGTTCCTCAATATCCGATAGGCCTGTATGAGATCACCACGAACCTGCCTGTACTCAAGAGGAAAGAGTTTAAGTTCACTAAGTCGGCAGTTGTAAGGTCAAGTCCTGAGGCCTTTCACAACTTTTGTCGCTCGCCTCTGAACTCTTTCTAGCAACTTATAGTCTTTTTTTAGCCACGGGCGCCACGCTTGGATTCCATATTCCAGGTGCGAACGAATGAACGCTCCATATACTTTTCCAAATAACTCTTTGTCTTTGTCCACGAAAGTTCGTTTAATGGCAAAGAGAACACTGGTTACCGTTTTGGCCGCCCTAACGCACTGAGAGGAAGGCTTAAGAGTCGACAAAATGTTGATCCCAAGATCTTTTTGTTGGGTCACATTTGCAAGGCACCTTCCACCAAACAGGTAATGGTGATCCTCTGCGTCGGCTCTTCCAGCTGTTTTGAGTCGCAGCGTGACACACTTCTCGAGGTTAAACTTCAACTGCCATTTATCAGACCATTCGCCTAGGCGGTTCAGTCCTTCTTGTAGGGCCCGTTCATCATTTTCCCCGTTGATCGCTTGCCGTAGCTTGATGTCATCGGCAAACATGACTCCATTGCAGTCCAGTCCATTCATCAAGTCGTTGACATAAATTAAAAATAGTACTGGTCCGAGTACAGAGCCCTGGGGAACTGCACTCACAACTGGCACTGGCGTTGACTTCGCACTACCAATACACACAGATTGTGATCGACCAGTCAGAAAGTCCTTTACCCAATTTAATAGGTTTCCCCTTATCCCTGACTCTCGGACCTTGTAAAGTAACCGGTGGTGTGGAACACTATCAAAGGCTTTCTTGAAATCAATGTAAACGATATCGACTTTTGTTCCTGCGTCTAACGAGCGAGACCACTGTTCCGTTGAATAAAACTTATTAGTTAGACAGGAGTGATTTCGTCGAAGGCCATGTTGAGAACTAGCAATTAAATTATTTTGTTCAAGGAACTTCATTCTGGATTTTTTTGACTATTCTCTCCATGACTGTGCAACAAATACACGTTAGGCTCATCGGCCGATAGTTGTTTGTACTTGTTCTGGATCCACCCTTGTGAATGGGGTATATGTTCGCCACTTTCCAATCAGAGGGGAGAATGCCTCGGTCAAAGGACGACCTAAAGATGTGCAAAAGCGATTTGGCGAGTTCGCAAGCTAACTCCTTCAGAACTTTTGCCGGAATTTAGTCGGGACCCGGAGACTTACCCTCCTTAAGCGCTAGAAGTTCCTTCCTGACATTTTATTCTGTGAAGTCGATGTTTTCTATTATTCGTTGGTTGTCCCAGCAGGCAATCCAGCCTCGTCAAAGTCCGTTTCATCAGTGAAAACAGATACGAAAAACCGGCTTAGATGTTCTGCCTTAGCGTCATTTTCGATGATATCCTCATTATTTTCTCCTTTCATCACTAAGATCGTCTCCTTGTTCTTTAACCTACTGGTGATGTAACTGATGAGCACTTTTGGCTTATCGATGGCCCGTTCCATAACTCGCGTTTCATCCTTCTTCCGCGACCTGCGGATAGCCGATCTTACCTCGTTTCGCTTTCGACGAAACTGCTCGTAATGAGATGGTTGTTTTGTTGTTGCATACCTTTTCCATAGCTTGTTCTTCCGGTTTACTCCTTTCTTTATATCCCGCGTTATCCAGGCAGGACGAATATTCTTTTTGACTCTCTTTGTCGGACAGTTTCGATGCATGATGTCTGTTACAACTCCTTTGAGAGTGTTCCAATCAACGTCCGGATGTCCGGAAAAAACATCATTCCAGTCCACTGCCGATAATTCCCTTCTCATGGCGGCAAAATCGCCTCGCCGGAAATTCAACCGAGGCTCAGTCGTATTCACTTGTTGGCTGCATAGGCGGTATTCCCAAAACAGCATGACATGGTCACTCTTACCCAGCGGTGTTATGGACCTAAGTTCGCCAGGGCTAATTGGGTCTTTTGTAAGGACAAGGTCCAGACAATTTGCTCTTTGGTCCGCTCTGATCCTGGTTTGGAACGTGACGTTTTGTACCAGAAAGAGATAAGACGTTAGTTTCAAGAGCCTGGAATCAAAGGAATTTCGCGAACCATTTACTAATAAATTGTTCCAGTCGACCATGGGTGCGTTGAAGTCTCCGGTTATCAGTACTTCTTGGTTTTGTGACACCTCCTTAATTAATCTAAACATCGCCTCGTCAACCTCAGCAGTTTGATTGGGCGGCCTATATACGGTCAGGAAATTCAAATTAGGTGAGCCACGCATCCGCAGTTTTAAACAAATTGCTTCACAGTCGCGGGAATAATCGGTTTTGAGTTCCGACGCGATGATTCCTCTCTTGACGTAGACTGCTATTCTCCCTCCTTTTTTATGCAGTCTGTCCCGGCGATAAAGTCGGTAATCATCGAGTGTAATTTCGGCATCCAAGACTTCGGTCTGGAACCAAGTCTCTGTGATAGAAATGACTTCCGGCTGCTTATCCGTTATCCACACTTTCAGTTCATCTAGCTTTTGGAACAAACTGCTTGCACTTGAGGATGTTGTGCTCATTTCGCACTAACTTTCAGGACTCCAGTCAAGGAGACACCCGACCTGACAGGGACACTAAGGAAGCATATACGGACTGTCGCGTAGAGGAAAGGGGCAAGTCGTACCCTTGGGTAGCTCGAATACTACACTTATTGTAAAGGGGTTGGACTGCAGTCTGGCCTTTGAGGACTTTTGAATTCGCCACCACGACCAACCTCCGAGGTCAACCTTTAAAACTGCGCACTCAGCAGGCAAGGCTGGATGTGCGGAAGTTCTTCTCTGTTCGAGTGGCCAAACCATGGAATGCTCCCTCTGTAGATGTTGTGATGTCACCATCGATACAAAGTTTTAAAAACAACTGTGGTATATTTATGTTGCGTAATGGCCAAGAGCGATGAGAAATCGAGCTCGTTCCCTGGGACTCACTCCCGTTTCGGTATACCATTATGCGCTCATCTGAATTATTTTAGCCAAGATAATTTCCCTGTGCATCTTACCCAGTTTTGCCTTGTAAATAGGGTACTCAGAGGGTTATACATAGTTATCTCAAAAAAATGAACCAAAATGAACAAAGACTTAATGAAATTTTATAGGATACCCATATATTTACTTGATAACAATTAATAAAATGTACCGTATATCTGCATAGACATGTTCAGGGGGCGCAATGTACAAAATTCCAGAAAGCCAGCCCATGCTCTGTCATGTTGCAGAAGGTTCTAGAAGGCGCGGCGATAGTCCCTATAGGGGGCGAGCGCCAAATTTTCCGTATTTATACGACAGGTACATAGTCACACTTTTGCTTCTTATAAAAAGTTTACGTTTAATAAATTAATATAATTGCAAAATAATGGAAATGTTCACAGCTCAATTTTGTTTAACTTTTCGCCCTAAAACGATCCCCAACCAATCGCAATGGCGGACTCAATCTTGACGCTTGTGTAGCATACGTTCCAGATGGATCAGTAGGGGACGAAGCGATAGTGAATGAGGATAGCCTCCTCTTCTTTACAACCTGAGGATTAACTTGAGGATCTATTCAATTCAATTCAATTATTTTTATTAAAGACCCGTCAGGGTCCCATCAAAGCAAGTAAAAATAAATTTACATGCAAATTTTAGACGATGTAGGCAAAATCTGTACAAATTGCAATGCGTAGTTTTTGAGATTAGAAGTCCGTTAAGCAAAATGAAAATGAAAAAAAACTCCAAAGCAAAATTTAAAAATGATTGTAGTAATTTAACAGGAGAAAAAAAACCCTCAGAAATATAGCATCAGAAAAAGACAGGGATGACTGGCCTGCATGTGGCGGTACAAAATGGAATATAGTCCGACATCAACATGGCCGAAATAAATGTCAGCTGTATATGGAATTGTGTAACGGATTTCATAAAATGGTACGTAGGTGGGTCGGTCAGGACTGGCTGTATCGCCTTGAATAAGAAAAATAAGTGCCGAAATTTAAAACCAGTCTCAAGCCGATAGGAACACAGATGCGGTCGGTTTCATTCAACCGAGTCCATCCGAGCATGGGGGGAGATGCGACCAGACTACTAGTATATGGCGAATATAGAAGGCTTTGTCAAGACCGCCGATGGAGCGCATTCTGTAAGGGCACGATGACAACCAGTCTCGAGGCGATAGGAACCCAGATGCGGTCGGTTTCATTCAACCGAGTCCATCCGAACATGGGGGAAGGGAGATGCGACCAAACTACTAGTATATGGCGAATACAGAAGGTTTCGCCAAGAGCGTCGATGGCGCGCATTCTGTGAGGGCACGATGCATGAACTAAAAAATTGGAATAATTAACATTTCTGGTGAGGGATCTTAGGTAGCGAGACTACTCATAAAGAAAGGAAACGTGAACAGATATGGAAATTTAATAGCGGCATGCTAAATTCCCGGTGGCCCTTTCTCAGTGTCATAGAAAAAGTTGTCTGGGAAGGATGAGGAAAATAAAAGTTTAATCGAGTCAGTATTCAGATAAAGGCGTAGCCTTCTCTTAAAGGTGTGTAGATTTTCTGAAGATCTTATATTTATTGGAAGGTTATTCCAGAGGAAAGTATACCTGGAAGCGAAAAAAAGGGAGCGCTTAGAGGTGGAGGACGCTGGAAGAGGTATAATTAGAGACGAGATGCGAAGATTGTATGGGCGACTACTAGGGGTAATTGTTGAAATCCGAGGAAAATTTGAACTATGATTAATGCGAAAGAGGAGACAGAAGCCCGCTTCTAGTCTTCGAACCCATAACAATTTTAGGTTAATTAGCTGACATCTATCTGAGTAGGAGATATTGACATGTTCCCTATCTAAAAGTTTTTTATAAAAACGTCTTTAGACATTTTCAACTTTTAAACGACTGGCTTCATTCATCAAACCAAAGAATGGGCAACAATACTCGAGAATGGGAAGTACAAACATACGATAGGGCCTTAATTTAATTTCAGGAAGATAGAAATTGTAAGAAATAAAGCCACAAATCTGGGCAGCTTTGGCTGTAATTCTGTCAGCGTGCGGCGAGAGATCAAGATTACTAGTGTAGCTTAAACCTAAATCCTTGATGGTGGTACATTCAGTCATAGGTGTTCCTTGAAAGACCACAGGTTGGGGTAGCCTATCAGGTTCAAAACACATATAACGACATTTAGAACGAGAGAATTCCATTAGCCATTTTGAGCTCCAAGCTGAGAGAGCAAGCAAGTCAGCATGGATTTGCTCCAGGCAATGAAGGCTCGTAGATTTTTTGAAAGAATATACACATTTGAGATCATCGGCATAAATAAATGATTGAGAATGTTTAATTGCGGCTGAAATATCATTTATGTAAAGCAAGAACAAAAGAGGACCTAAAACGGTACCTTGTAGGACACCGCTCTCAATAGGACTTTCACTGGAAAGTGAAGATCCCACCAAAACCTTTTGTTTACGATTAGACATGTATGACCTGAGGAAGTCTATTATTGGACTGCGAATTCCCATAGCTCCCAATTTAATCAAGAGTCTTTTATGTGGCACTTTATCAAAGGCTTTACTAAGATCAAAATAAATAACGACAACAGATAGGTGATCATTACGAAGAGAGGTAAGTAGATCGAGAAACGACAGATGACATGTTTCACAAGAGCGATCTGGTAAAAAACCATGCTGGGAAGGGCTAATAACTTGATTGGCTATGCAAAATTCGGTAATTTTTATGGCGATAATTTTTTCAAAGATTTTGGCGAGAGAGGGTGTTTTATGGACACCTCGATAGTTCTGTACGTCAGAACGACAGCCAGACTTAAATACTGGAATAATAATAGAAGTTTTCCAATAGTCAGGGAAGAAGCCATTTACGAGAAATACTGAAAAGATTTTGCTAAGCAGAGGAGGAAAATCTCTTAGCTGTTTTATCAAAGAGTTTGGGATATTGTCCGTACCTACTGAGTGAGAGTTAGGAAGATGACTTTTCAGTTTTTGAATACATTCAGGAGATAAATTAACGAAGCTAAGAGAAGCATCAGACAATGAAGGAATTAAAGGGATCGGATCAGTTTCAATGGTGAAATGCTTGGCAAAGAACGAATTTAAAATTTCTGCTTTGCCTGACTCCTCTGTAATGAAGGCATCACTTGCACTAAGCAAGGGCGGAATGACTTGGTGGGACTTAGCAGATGATCTCTGACGGAAGATCTGAGCAACTGATTTAGAAGCATTCACGTCATTAATAGCTAAAGACTCTCTACGCCTATCTCGCTCGAGCCTCATTTTCGAAGCTAGTTCAAATATTTCAACGATTCTTAGATGAACTGATAATGAGCTCACAGAAGGATCTTTAAACTGCTTCCGTAACTTTTTAAGTCTGTTTTTAAGAAAGTGTGGGATAGCGGTGGAATTAGCACTCGGTTTGAACATCTTCCGAGGAATAAGGTCAAGAAGACCTTCTGTTACGCATTGTAATAAATTGTTGAAAAAATTTAGATCATTATTTGAAAAAATATTGTGCCAATCAAGAGTGCATGTAAAGTTATTTACTAAGTCCTTGTTAACATTAGCAAAGTCAAAAATACAACGTTGAACTGTTGGCTTTGCGGAAATGGCAACTGGAAGGCGACAATGAATCAATGCATGATCACTTACAAAGAGGTCATGATAAAAATCCATAGATAAAGGGAAGGTGCCATTAGTAAAAATTAAGTCTAAAACACTATCGTTTCTGGTCGAAGAGTGAACTAATTGAGTCAGGTTTGAAAAGTAAATTGTGTCAAGCAGCTTCTGGAATTTAGGAGGAGAAGTATGTGTGTGCCAGTCAATTTCTGGCAAATTAAAATCGCCCACGATTATCTTGGCATCGAAAGAAGTTTCTGCAATTTTTTCAAAGAGTTCACAAAGTTGGCTTTCATTTCCGGAGGAACAAGGAGGATTACATACACATCAGACTAAGGCTTTCCTATTTTGCGGAAGGATTACCGAAGCCAAACATAAATTTCCAGAGAAGGAGGAAATGTCCAAGTTATAAGGCGATTGTGCAAGTGATGCTCTTATGTAAAGAAGGCATCCACCGCCGCGTCTGTCGGCACGGTCCTGGCGGTATAAACTAAGGCTATCTATGTTAAGTGCCGAGTCTGAAATTAGAGAGTGGGCCCAAGATTCAGTAATGCACAATACGTCTGTGTCGAACTCAACACCTACACTTCTTGGGTGTGCCATCTTTCGCACGACAGATCTTGCGTTGAGAGAGACAATACTGAGCGTATTCCTAATATGTAGGTTTCGCTCATTGCTACTTATAAAAAAGGAAGAGCCAGGGGTGGAAAATTAAGCTGTTGGAACGGAGCAATTGGTGGAGGACAAAGTTGCTGCGGTCTAAAATTTATGGGGTAATTACTAGTTAGAGATGCAGCATTAGGCGGAAAAACATTTGAGGAGGACCCAGGAAGAGGAAAACTATTTTGTTGGGTTGGAAAAATAGGAGACAAGAAAATAGGATTTTGGGAATTGTTAGCATAATACGAGGGGTAGTTTATGTTAGGTGGCGGACGTAATGGTTTCGGGAAACAGTTAACATCAGGAAAGGGCTTTATTATTTGGGGTGTCAGGCTAGCAACGGGATTGGAGAATTTATCAGCAATGCAATATACTTGCATTTTGCAGTCTGATGTGTAAGAGGGCTTCACAACTGTGGCGTTAAGTTGAGAATTCAGGATAGGAACAGGTAAAGACCTCCCTGAACTCTCATCTAGCTTATCAGACCTAACTGCAAGGTCAGACCTGAGTGGCCAGGCGTGGGAACGGGGTGGATTTGATGTAAGTTTATTAACCAAATCACTATTCTGAGTGCTGGGAGCCGGTTGTGCTTCAAGGACTAGCTCATCTTTACTGCTAAGATCAAGCTCCCTTATAAATTTGGGAGCCGCAGTTGAACAATCCTTGCTCCGTGGGGGAGTTTTAAAGAGGCTAGTTTTAACCGTCTCTGTGATAATGTGATCAGTCGAAGAGCTAGATGGAACTGGGGCCGCTGTAGATAGTGGGCGGATTTGGTCGACGCCAGATGGAGAAACTGCTTTAGAGGAAAAAGGCATTTGGGTAGAATTCGGGGGCGGCTTTAAGTTTGGTAATGGGGGAGAAATTTTTCGTTGCAGTGGAGTCTGGTCTCGACTAATAAAAAGTTTATTTGCCCTGAAATATTGAGTTGATCGCTCCAAATGGGAGAAAATAAAATCCACTTCTATCGATGAAAAGAGTTTGACAAGAATGGGTGGATTCTTGCTCCTAGATGAAAGCCTTTTGGCTTCCGCGACCCTAAAGTTGAAGCCGCATGAAAAAAGGAATTGAACGGCGACATCAATTGGCTGTCTACTCTTGGGAACGTTTTTTAATATAAAGTTGAAACTTCGTTTGTGCCTGTCTTCAGTCTCAGTCGCAACTAGGTTAATGAGATGCATGAGCTTCTCACACTGCTGAGACGTAAGCGTTGGCAAATTTCCGTCAAGAAGGGCACCAAGGACAGAAAAAATTGATCCGCAACGAGACATAAAGTTTTTAAAATCATCAAGCGCCCCTAAATCAATTTTTTTTCATATGAACACTGGGTTTCAGAGGAAGTTTAGTTTCCTTCAGATTTCGACGAAGGGTTGCTTGAGGTTTCATGCCGAAAACGCACTACAAGACTTATGTCCAAATATTTATATGAATAATAACTGCCGAAACTTCGAGGATATATGGATGAGGTTATGTATGATGAAACGATTTATGAAAGCTGCAAATATTGGTGGATCAGACAGCACAATTTATACTAAGCAAGTTTTACTCAATACCAGAATGTAAACTAGAAAAAAAACGGGCAAATGACAATTTCGTAGGTGGTAAAACAGAACTATGAATAAATCTGAATTGGATAATGAGGCTATGTAGGATAAGATAGATAACAGTATAATTCTCAATAAACTGACGATGAAAGCCGTCAGTGGAGACAGTTTATCGTTTAACATATAATGTTAGTCTATATTTTTACGAGGAAAACCTTTTGTTTATGCAGGTAAGACTTGATAGGATTGAGGCTATGTTGGGTGAAAAACTGCGACAATAGATTTCCGCTTTATGACAAATCGCAGAAACACGACAGGAAGCGAAGAAGACTTATGACAAAAAATAGAAAATTTCGTCAGGTCTACACTGGAAAACTGTGCAAGGGACTAAGAAATTGAATCCAAAAATATAACTTTCACTTATCTTTTCAAAAATCTGAACATGGGACGTCCAACATTCTTCACAGGCAGACTCAAGCACATCAGAGTTGGGCGCTAGGAGGTCGAAAGAGTGTAGTTAGGCGCCGAAGATAAAGTTTATTGTAACAGAGTATATACACGTGTGTAACGTCAGTAGAAAACGAATAACGAATTGAACATAGGAACCAACAAGGTAGATGACGTCAAGAAAATATGTACATATATCAGGATAGAGGGTTAACCCGGAAATAGACAAAGGGCGCAAAACAAAATGTAACAATGATCAACAAAAGAACAAACATGTAACAAACAAGGGTGGTACTTATCGGGTACACAGTTCAGTGGCTTTGTTCGTGCCCATGTGGTGAGATTGGTCCGGGGATCTCTACAAGATGAGTATTCACTTGATTATTAAAACAAGGTCAGGTGCCTATGCTCTATTTAAGCTGTACACTTGAAGAGGCTATAAACACGACGAAAACCAGTCTCCGGCTACTCCATGACAGGCCGCCGCTCTTCGGACGTGGGACCTCTGTCTCCGTCTTCACCGAATCGCAGTGCTCTCCGCCAACTGCCCGTGGACAACCATCTTGCCCTAGCTTGTTTTTGTAATTATGTTCCCACTTAATTTTTCCATGTACATAGGTGCTTCAGTATAGTAAGTACCAGCGACTGTCTTGTCCTGTCGTGCCTCGTTGATTTCGCACTACTTATCCCTCCTTTTACATACTGAATCATATTAAACAATTGATCCAAAGTACTGACGTCATTGAAGCCCATGCCTATCCACCGAAGAAGTGAGACGTGTCCTCAGTTAAATTAAACTGGCCGAGTCCCCTGGACCCGACGAAATTCGTGGACTGATGCTTAAGGAACTATCAAGGGAGCTGCAACGTCGTGTAACAGAGCTGGTGAATGGTTTAAGAAACCAATCTTACAAAGAAAGACCGGATTGCCTTAATTTATTCCCTCTGTGTCAAAGGCAGCGACGAGGCGATCTTATCCTGGTTTATAGGATAATACATGGCCTTGAGCATGACTCTGCTTCGGAGAAATGTTTCAGTGACACCTTTCACCCAGTCTTCGTGATCATTCGATGAAGTTACGGGCAAAAATGTCCGGAATCAGTCTTCGTTCTGAATTTTTCACACAAAGTGTAGTGGAGGAATGGAACTATATCCCTTAATAAGTCGTGGAGGTGGCGTCCCTGCAGCTCTTCGAGAACCGCATGGATGATTATTTGCGTTCCCTGTTTTCCCTCGAAATTCTAAACCTGATCTAAATACTCCGCGGTCGCAGGGATTTTTTCCTTGAATCAATGCTACTCAAGTAAATCAAGTACTGCTTTGTTTATGAGGATTTTCATCGTTCTTGTACAGTTGTACGTTGCGTGTTTACATGTAATCGACAGGAAATTCAGAGGTCTTGCCTATTATCCTTTCCAAATAAAGTGAAACTAAACTGAACTGGACATATGCGTTTATGACTGGCTGGGTTGCAATGATTTGGGCAATCTAAAAGAAGGCAGCGGACCTTTAAATGGGACAAAGGTCCCTTTCGTGTGAGACAAAGACGGATTCAGTCTCAGATCATGTCGTTCTTGCGTAATTTCTCTGCTTATTCAACTGGAAAACACGGACGACTAAGTCGATTTGAGAGTTTTATTTAACGCCAGTTTACAGGCATTATCAAGGGAAGCGTTAAACACAAATCCGGCCAGCAGTGAAAAAATCTCCCGAGGTAAAGGAATAAAAATATAGTTGATGGTGGTTTCTATAATTTGGAGGGTTCAGGAGAAAAAAACTGCTGGCGGCATACATTCGATCGTCAAGAAGGGTGAGGGGAAGGGGGGGTTGCACGGTATCGGAGATTGGAGAAGCTATTCGTCTAAGTGATTTAGACGGAATCGCTGACACTATATGAGGGTTGTCAGGAGTAAAAAGCGGAAACTGTAGCCACTGCTATTTGAGAGTCAGACCAAGACCTGAGGAGAGGGCTTAAGTTGGGAGGAAAAATAGAAGTGCGGGAGATAATTGAATCGGAGTTCCAGTGCTAGGAGAAACTGACCGCAGGGTTAGCATCATGGCCCGACTGGTGAGTCTTTGACTGGAAAGTCAAGAACTGGTTTATAAAGAGAGACCTAATTCCCTGTTTATTTTACGGAGAGTCGCCAGAAAAAAATTTGTCTTCCTAGATAATTTGATATACGTCCACCATGTGAAAATGTCGAATCAATCTCGACTACCGCAAAGAGCTTAGTTTAAGTCATTTTATTAAGGGAATGAGACTTTCGCCCTTGAGCTCCCTATTCATATCGATAGAGAGAAATAAAGTCATTAATTACAACAGCAAATGCAGAAAGTTCAAAAGTTAGCGGTAAGTGTGAGCAAGGCGCAAACTGCCGCCGCTAAAGCAATCCTGATTAGATGTGCAAAAGTTTCTCAACAAATGAGGATCTAGTCTACACTCAAAGGATTGGACACTTTCGGAAAGAACTACCGCATCAGGGAGTCCGTTCCATGACCCGATGACTCTGTGAGAGAAGGCGTTCCGTCGGACGTCCGAATGAGCCAGCTTCCTCAGCAGTTTGAAGGGATGACCACGCAGGCGGTCAGTCCCGGCCAATTCGAAGAATTCATCAAAGTCTAGGGAACACTCACGACCTCTGACAATCCTGTAGGTTTGAAAGAGATCGCCGCGTAGTTGCCTGTAATTTAGAGGAAACATATTTAGTTCGGTCAGTCTGGTTTCGTAAGGCAGATGATTAAGATTCTTGACCATCTTCGCAGCCATCGCCTGTACTCTTTCCAGTCGTTGATAATCTTTCTTCAACCACCTTCGCCAGGCCTGGACTGCATACTCTAAGTGAGACCGGACGAATGCCCCAAAGGTTTTTCCGAAAAACTCTTTATCAATCTGCACAAATCCTCGCCCCAGCGCAAATAACACCCTTATCGCACTTTTGGCTGCCCTCTGACACTGTGATGATGGTTTCAGCGAGGAGGTCATTAGGACGCCCAGGTCTTTCTGTTCCACAATATTTGAAAGGGACGGACCACCAAGGACGTATTGAAAGGAATCGTCCTCCTTACTGGTCTTTTTGGTGCGGAGTCTCAGGACCACACATTTGTCCACATTAAAATTAAGGAGCCAGCGAGCTGACCAACTGTTCAGGCGGTTAAGACTGCCTTGAAGCGCGTGTCTGTCTGCGTCAGATCTGATAGATCCTCGTCGAATTCACTCGAGCAAATGAAGTAAGCAGGAACATCAGTTGGCTGTCCGGATCTGGGAACACTTTTTAAAAGAAAGCTATTTTGCCTTTTCTATCTATGAAATGTTTCATTGGCAACCAATGTAATGGATGATAAATTAAAAGCAGCGCTAGAGTTCCACGCCCAAATTTTCACATTTTTGTGGACCTCTTCGAATTATTCCGGCCGAAATGATTCCCCGTATGCTGCACCTAGTTTTACATTTAAAAAGGACACTCATGATTATTTTTCAGTTCAGTTCAGTTCAGTTTATTGAGGGGAATAGGCGTGAGCCTTTGAGTACCCTATTTGCAACGTAAAAAATGTGTGGTGTACAGATAGATGTTCTGGGCTGAAATAGTTCGAACACGCCCATAATGGTGGGACAAAATGAGAAGGAGTTACAGGGGGTGAGGTCGAATTCTCATCGCTCTTGGCCATTTCGGAACATAAATATGTCCAGATTCTTCTTAAAACTTTGTATAGATGGTGACATCACAACATCTGCGGGAAGCTCATTCCATGGTTTGACCACCCAAACCGCGAAGGAGAACTTCCGCACATCCAGCCGTGCCTGCTGAGTGCGCAGTTTTAACGGGTGACCTCGGAGGTTGGTCGTGGTAGCAAATTTAAAAAAGGCCAGACTGCAATCCAACGCCTTTATAATGCGGAAGGCTTGCAAGAGATCTCTGCGAAGTTGCCTGTAACTCAAAGGAAAGAGGTTCAGATTTACTAGGCGGGTTGCATAAGGAAAGGAACTTTGACCCCTAACCGTCTTCGTGGCTCTCCTCTGGACTCTTTTGAGGCAGTTTTGATCCTCAACACCCCACGGTCCCAGTACTGAACCCTGGGGGCCACCACTATCGACCGTAGCCGGATCTGATTTTCCCCGATCGATGCAGACAACCTGGTGTCGACCCACAAGGAAGTTTTCGATCCCTTTACGGAAGTTGCCACCGATCCCTATTTTTTTCAGCTTATGTAAGAGCCTTTGGTGTGGCACAGTGTCGAACGCCTTCTGGAAGTCGATGAAGGCTATGTGGACCGCGTGCCTTTCGTCGAGAGCTCGGGTCCAGCTCTGGAGAGATTGCAGCAAGTTTGTCGTGCAGGATCTTCCTTTCCGGAACCCATGTTGGCAGTTCGATAGCAGGCCGTGAACTTCCAGGAATTGCATCACTACACTCTTTATGAACCTTTCCATAACTTTGCAGAGAATGCGTGTCAAGCTTATGGGCTTGTAGTTTGTCGTCGCTGCCCTGTTACCTCCTTTGTGTAGCGGAGTAATATGCGCCAGCTTCCAATCGATAGGAAGTGTTCCAGTGTCAAATGACGTTTGATAGAGCATCGACAAAGGCACAGAAAGCTCACTGGCAAGTTCCTTGAGAAGGTTGGATGGAATCTCGTCTGGTCCTGGCGACTTCGATTCGTTCAATGCCTCTAATTCTCTTCGGACAATGCCTTCTGAGAAGAGTATATCACTGACGCTTGGAGTCGGCAGTTCTTCTGTGGAGGGAGGAAGGAACCTTGCCTCGTTTGTGTAGACTGATTGGAAAATCCGTGAAAAATACGCAGCTTTATCCCTTCTATCAGCGATGTCAACGCCATCAGTAGTCTTTATCAAGGGGATTTGGCGCCTGTTCCTTGTACTTTGTCGGAGGTAGCTGTAGAGCAATTTTGGGTTCTGCGTTGCTTTTTGTAGCAAGTTCTTCTCGAATTCCCGCCGCGTCTTCATTATCAGCTTCCTCAGTTTCTTCCTCTGTGTCTTGTAGGTGTTGAAGCATTCAGCTTGTCTAGTGACGCAGTATTTTCTCCACAATTTGTGCTTCCTGCTGATTTCTTTCTTGAGGTTGCTATTTAGCCACCCAGGGCGTTTGTTCAGTCTTACACTAGTCAGTGGGCAGTGGTTGTTGATGAGCTGCAGAAGGACATTCTTGAACAGCTCCCAATCATCGTTGGCACTTTCCGTAAACAATGAGCCCCCGTCAAGACCGGATAAGTCTGCCCTCATCTGATTGAAGTCGCCCCGCCAAACATTACGTCTTTTGTGGTCTGGAGTATGTGAAATTGAGTGAACTGAACATTATTTACGGGTTCTGTCGGACCCTCGCTTATGCGAGTTTTAGGTTTCTACATGCTCTCGTACTTTCTTAAAAAAGAAGCAATTTTAGTATTAAATTATCAGTGCACAAGTTTATTAAGAGTACTTTCTTTTAATTGACACGACTTGCCGCATTTGACCTGTGCGCCATTTCCGAAATTTCAATACCTAAAGATGTCTGGCAGGGGCAAGGGAGGAAAGACGTCTTCGAAAAACCGCAAGTCCAGGTCTGCCAGGGCAGGCTTGCAGTTCCCCGTTGGTCGTGTTTACCGACTTCTACGTTCTGGAAACTATGCGGAAAGAGTCGGTGCGGGTGCTCCTGTCTACCTTGCAGCCGTTTTGGAGTATCTCACCGCCGAGGTACTGGAGTTGGCAGGTAATGCTGCCCGTGATAACAAAAAGACCCGCATTATCCCACGGCACCTGCAGCTGGCTATAAGGAATGACGAGGAACTTAATAAACTTCTCGGAACCGTGACCGTTGCTCAGGGCGGTGTTTTACCAAATATCCAGAGCGCCTTATTACCAAAGAAGAGCGGAACCATCGCAGCAAAGAAGACGCAATCCCAAGAGTACTAGATTTTTATGACCCATTTTTATACATTTGCTGTCTAATGAAGATGTGTTTTCTACTTGTGTCTTTATTGGCTTCGGCACATGTGCCGGACTGGTGCACCAGCCCGATGCGGTGGACCCTCTCTGCCAGGACCCAATCAACAAATGGTATGGCATTTGATCTTCTCAAGTTCTCAGTTCTACACGGCGTCGAATAGTACTACGCGTGCTTAGTCCTTCGCCTTTAGCATGCTAGGCGAATACCCCCACTGCTTACTTACCGGTTTGCTGCTGGAGTATTCGTCCGGTGCGTCGTCAATGTTATTCGGCCGTAGATTTTGGCAAGGTTACTAGGGGTTCAGTATCACTGACTTCAGCCAACACGTAGTCCTCGATTTAATGCTTGCCTGGCGAATCGTGTACGTCTCGTTATTGCGGTCCTCTGGATAATTAGCGGTGAATAGCTTGGTGGCAAAGGGCCCTTCCGGTGATTTTGTTGTGATTGACCCCTTTAGTGTTATTTTGTCTGAGCGGGTCCCGTACAGATTTTATAAACCTGGTCTTTCGGGGCTTTGGGCGTCTGCTAGAGCGCCTCTTCCGTCCAGTTTTCGGGGTTTCAGTGTTGACCAGCGTTTCTGTACCTAATTTAGTAAAGGCGAAGCTACATTGATCCTACTCTGTCGGCTGAAGCGTGATGTGTGTTGGGTGTGTCCGCCCGACATCTAGGTTTCACGGCCCCTCCCCCGCGGTAGGGACTCCACGAGTGTCACTCCCGTCCGGCGTGCATCACAGGTTCGGAAAGTTGCTTGTGCCGTACTCGAAGTCGATCGTAGCCTTTGTCTGTACCCCCAGGATAGGGACTGGTTTACAGCCGATACTCACCTTTGTCTTTGCGGGCCTGGGAATTATGTCGCGCGTCAATGAGTTGAGGGATTGTGGTCGAATGTCCCACCGACCTTTTTCGGAGAGGGACAGCAATGTAGCTTGTGAAGGCGCGGGCACGGTCACCGTGACAAGAGTGCCGGATTCACACTCGAATCCACCAGGTGGACGCATTGCTGCTCGACAGCACGCCGGCCAGACGGCCTGTGCGTTGCGGGCATGCGTGTCCTTGTTCATGGGGATTACGGAGATGAACCCAGAGGCCTTGTGTCCGAGTGCGCGTGTACTGCCCCGCTTGAGACGGGTGCGGCTGGGGTTCTGCTAGTAAACATGTTGCGCCAGCCCGAGACAGTACTCAACAGGACTTCTAATAGCTTATGATCATGTCTGATCAAGCCGGTCCCGACACGTGATGGTCTGCGACAGTGGCCGGGGGAAACTCGACCCACTATCCCCTCCGACGTAGGAGACAGGTCGGGGAATGTCCGAAAGCCGCTCCCATGCAATAAATTTTGACCTAGGTCTTGCGTTGGCCGCCTCGGTGTGGGTAACGGCGCTGGGTCGAGGGTCGTAACAATGAGCTCTAGGCGGGCGGCCTAGGTCTTGTCCAAACCACCTCAGTCGTCTTGGGTGACCTGACGTACCCTCGTGATGTCGCAGCGAGTGCTAACTGCCTAATCTGAGGCGAAGTCGACGTACTTCACCCGAAGGATGGTCCTCAGACAGCGGCGGCAAAGCGCCTCCAGTTTTCGCCCATCTACGCGAGCAGCCTAGTATTCACAACCGCAAAGGAGCGTCCCGACGGATTCCTGTCACACTCGGATCTTCGTGGTGACGGGGATGTTGCGTCGGGTCTGTAGACACTTTCGAAGGATTTGGAAGATCTTTGTGAAAAGCATCGGTTCACGATGCTATGTCGCACATACTCTGTTTATGCCGGAGTGTCCTCGCTGCAAGATATTTGGAATAATTTCTCTAATGGTTCAAATGATGTTTTATCGAGAGCCGTAGAAGAATAGTTATGTACGTACCGACCTGGGTCTTTGGAAGCCCTGCTTGTGGTTTCATTTCGTACATCTGTTGCAGTAATGAATATCTCTCAATGGGTACTTACGTTTTAATACCAAGCTTGTGGAGGCGAAAGTGCTGGCCAAGTTCATTGGGGACTGTATTGAGAGGACTGAATATCCAAGTCACTAGTGGAGAGCGCTGCGACGAAGTCGTACATTTACTACCACAATAAAGATGGAAGAGCTAGAACGTCACGTTTGTCAACGCTCAGCCGTTCTTGACATCCTGACTAGGATTTATTAACTATACGGAGTCTATAGGAAGAGGACGAAGAGGCAGAGAGGTCTTCACTCCCGCGACGGATGCACGAAATTAAATCACAACCAGGACTTCCAAAAGACCCCGATCGGCTCCTACATCGTTTCTTCAAGCCAATAATCCCAAGGGGTCTGCTCATGACTAGGCATGCAGGCCGAAGTACTTCGGTCTCCTTTGGGTACATGGACAGGCCGACCGATTGGGCGACTTCATTCGCTCGCGACCCATACTATAGGTCGCCAATGCTTGAGGCTGGTGGGGTGCTGCCATCAGCGTAGTTCGATTCAGTCACCCGGATGCGATTCTGCACCATCAAACCCATGCACGAACCTTCCGAGAATCCAGCCATTAGCGTAATTAAACAGATTGAGCGATAGGTTGTGATCTTGTCGAGCGCCAGATCGAACACCGTTGCGCGTCAGAACTCGCACAGTGGTGGAACAATGGTACCCCCTAGTCATGATTTGTGCTAGCACATTTGGTTTCATTATTCCCTAGGGGGACTTACCTGCACAGGGTACCGCGACGTGGTTTTGCGACGGGGACGTTCGGATTTAAATGGCTGGGAAAGTAGGTCACATGCGTTACCCAGCCGGCAAGTGGTGGCACGGCTCCCCGGACGTGGAGTTGGGAAGAAGACGACTGACCTCGTGAACACGCTGATTGGATCGTATGCGACTAATCAGAATTTTTGCGGATGACACCGCTGGCCGAACACTGCGTGGACCGGCAGTTGTGCCACTGTCTGCCGTCCTGGGCGTGGGCCACTTCATCATTGGCAGTGGGGGCTCCGCTGTCGCGATAAACAACAAAATTCTTAGTCGGGTTAGGAGAATTACAATGGCCGACAGACAACGTTATGTCGGACCGGCACAGTCTCTCAAGTGTGGGCAGATAACGAAGGCGATTGTAAGTAGGCATTTAGTGGGCGGTATGCATGACATTGTGCTGCCGGTCTAAATGGCGGCTAAAATCGGTACAGTTCGACTACAGATCGATCGACGTCGGCCTTGAGAGTGAGGCGGAGGACAATACCGCCAGCTGAAGGTTGCTGGGTGAAGTCCAATTAAGCAGTAAAGGTCTCCGTCAATTGCTAAGGCGTTCTCTGACGAATCCGTTTGTCCGGGTGTGTTATGCCGCAGTCCCAATGCGCTTGATGCAGCGAGAGGGCAAGTGAGATGAAGGGAAGAGCCGGCTCACATTAGGAGCTGTTTGCTGTCTCAAAGCCTCTGGATTTCGACACCCGACTCACCAGAAGAATGTTAGCCTCAGTCTTGTCGTCGATGTCGGCCACAGGCACAGCAACGGACCATCGAGTGGGTCAACAGATTTGTACACCCATTAGGAGGAGGGGACGATCTAGCAGACCTAGTTTTATGTGGCTGATTGGTGACCCGGGGTGGTGTGCTGATGGAATTTAGCGTGCTGGCGAGGAATACCGATATTTGCCCGACACTGGACATTCCAATTTTGGTTTGGCCGAACGAATCAGGCAGTAAATGTGCTGTCTCATCAAATGCTGACCGATATTCTGGAATGCGTCTTCTATTCGAAAAGAGTACTAAGGTAAGGTTGTAGGATTAATTATTGTGTGGCATAATAACAAGGAATTTCCGTCATGCCAGGATGCCGGCTTTCGAATGAACATCTTATCGATCGCCCGCATGGATTATATTCCATGAAGAGCGACTATTCAAGTAGCCTGAATTGTTCCTTTTTGTTTTCGACGTCCTCATAAATGCAAATATATTTTATAGAAGACGTGCACAAAATATTCTTTCTCTTATCCTTTTGACAAGAAATCACGTCTTCTCCAAATTTTATATCATATTCCGTATTTAAAGAAGTTTCTAACAATGCAATATTCTAAGACCGTGAAATGTCCATTCGTTCAGCTTCGCATCAGCAAATTTACTAACGCTGCTTATAAAGTGGACAACGTGGTCCGCATGCATTACGAAATTTTATGAGCCCTATATGTCCTATTTATGATAGCACATATAAATGTGTGATTTTCCTTGCATGAAAAGTATGCAGCTTGTAGTTCGGAGACCTTGAATACAAGCGTAACGGGGGGCCGGGTTCAAAAGTACTCTAGAATTGAGAAGGCTTTTTAAAAGCGAATGATGCTCTTTCTTCGAGTATAAAATTAAGATAAGACGTAGTTTGCTACCAATGAGTAAAAGAAGGAATATTTTGTGCATGTTTTCTATCAAATATATTTGAACTTATAAGGGTGTCGAACATCAATTATGGAAAAAATCATGCTACTTAAGTAGTTATTTTTACTGAGTATAGCCTATGCAAACCGTCGATAAGAAGCTCTTCCGAAAGGCGGCATCCCGACCTGGCTGAAGTATTTTAACATGCGACATGAGAATTGATATTACAATCACGGTAAAGCAAGCTTTTGGGATTGAAAACGCGTTTCCGAATCTCAGTCAGCATTTCATGCGAGTCTGGGTGCTCATTCTGGGGGAGGGAAGTGCGTGAAGGCAACTGATTAGACGTTCATAGGGCAAGGCAAGTACGGTCATTAAAGTCGGATATTAAGATAAAATAATTGGCGGAAACAGCTTTTGCGGCCCTGACGCCTCAGCTTTTCATCTAATCGGTCACACTTGACTCTTCAGTATGATTGGGTATACCTTACAGGATGCCTACGAGCCCACCTCAATTCTACTTCGTACATACTTGCAGCGAAGCATGCCTGAACGTTTAACGAAGGAAAAAGGGACCTGAGCCTTCTAGTTATTGACTTACGCATAATCAAAAACCTTCAGAGTTATCGGTCTTCTGCATTTAAACCATAC